GAACAAAATCATGAATTTTGCAGCAACCTGGATGGAACTAGAGTCTATAATACTGAGTGACCTCTCACAGAAACAAAGATCTGGGAATCACATGTTCTCACTCATATAGTGGACCTTGATCATCCAACGTAATATCATAAGAAAATTACTGACAGTGGTGGGAAACTATGGGGGGGAGGGGAAGGGAGATGGGATTAATGGTAGTAAATATCTGTCCGGGGACGGGTAGACACCTCTTATCAACAAGTGTGCCTGAACGAAGCATATTTGTATACCTAACCCTTAACAATACCATAATAACAAATATTGATTATAAAAAAAGAGTATTTTCTTCTAGAAGTTTCCCAAGGGCTATTACTAAGTGTGAGAAATATTGGGAAGATCACAGCAGAATGGTATGAGTCACTTTCCGTCTGCATATGGTTAAGTGCACTTGCCACAATTTAAATAAAATAAAAAAGGCAAGATGAAGTTTTTTTTAAAAAAAGAAGAGCTGGGGATGCAGTAGGTAGAGAAATCGGGAAGAACATTCTTGGCGGTGGGAAAAGTAAATATCTTTCATATCGAGACCCGAATAAGGACAGATGAAGACAAGGGCACACAATTCAGAGAAGCTGCAGTGCAGGGTGGGCGGCCAGTGGGGCTGATGCTGGTCAGGCACAGAAAGGATTACACCAGAGGGTGTCATGGACCAGGCTACGGAGTTGGGACACTATCCAGGAGGAAACGGGAAGGCATTACTTATAAGAAGATAAGGGGCTTGGCTTGGTGGCTCAACCTGTCATCCCAGCATGTTGGGAGGCCGAGGAGAGTGGATTGCCTGAGCCTGGGGATTCGAAACCAGCCCGGGCAACTTGGAGAGACCTCGTCTTGACAACTAATCAACAGTTAGCCGGACACAGTAGCGTGCACCTGTAATTCTGGCTACTTGGAAGGGTGAGGCAGGTGGATCGCTGGAGCCCATGGGTCGAGGCTGGGGTGGCACTCCAGCCTGGGTGACGGAATGAGACTCCAACTCAAAAAAAAAAAAAGATAGAAGAAGAAAAGGGCACTCATTTCCACACGAGAATGTGCTTGCTTCCTGGAACTTATTACGATGAACACTGACTTCATTGCTTCTGTCTTGACTCTGAGCTTCTTGAGGACAGGGACTGCTTCTTGCATGTGTATGACCTGGGCCCATCACAAACCTGATGGAAAATCTGAAGAACGTGCCTATTCCCAAGGCCCCATCACCTCATGACTGTTCTACCTGTCTTTCCATTCTAGGATGCTGTCTTCTGGCCCCAACTTCGGGCAGCGTGTCCCAGGAGGCAACACTCTGTCCTGGTCCAGGTGCAGGTACTGTCATGCTTACCTTGGATTTCTGGGTAGAGGGCCATGTAAAGCAGACCCCAGCGCAGCGTGGTGGAAGTTGTCTCAGTTCCAGCAAAGAACAGGTCCAAGGTGGTGCAAATGAGGTTTTCTTCATGGAAACTCGTAGCAGCATTGCCCGTGTGCTAGAAAGGACAATGTTTAATGTGATTTATGGTTTATTTAGAGGATTCCTGGTTGCTATAACACACAGGGATGTCATCTAGGAGGAAATTTGGAAGGAAAGGTCCCCAGAAGAAACAACTTTCCCTTGGAAAGGGGCAGAGGCTCTTCAAGAGGCAGAGGCTGATTACAGCAATATCATTAGCATTGCCTACCCCAAGTGCTGGAAGCTTTTGGGGTCGGTGAAAATTGAGAAAACTATTTTCTCTCTTTTAAAGTCAGGATCTCACTCTCACTCCACCACCCACGCTGGATGGAGTGCAGTGGCAAGATCATGGCTCAACACAGCCTTGACCTCCTGGGCTCAGGTGATCCTTCCATCTCAGCCTCCTGAGGGACTAAAGGCATGGACTACCACACCCAAATAATTTTTATCTTCATTTTTTCATTTTTTATAGAGATGAGGTCTCAATGTTGCCCAGACTTGTCTCGAACTCCTGGGCAGAAGCAAACCTCTCGCCTCGGCTTCCCAACGTGCTGGGATTACAGGGATGAGTCACCATGCCCAGCCCAAGACAACTATTTTCTTATGCCTGTAATTTGGGAAAAGTTGCTAGTACAGTGGGAGGAGGATGAGATATAAATAAGAGATTTGGCTTCCAATATGAGTCACTACACTCAGTAGCTGTGTGAGCTGGAGCATAGTACTTAACCTGTCTGTGCTCCAATCTCCTGTTTTATAAAACAGAAATAACAATGCTCACCCTGAAGATGGCATTGTGAATTATGTGAATGCAAGGGCACATAGTAAATACCCAGCCAATGTTTGCACTGATAACAGAAAGAATGGAATTCCTCTTATGAGCAACAGTTCTCATATCTTCTTATCCATCTCTTCCTTACCAATATGAACCTCTCTGATTTCATCAACCATTCCTTAGGCTACGCTGTCATCTTTGCCATCCTCCTCCAAAGCTTTAGTTTGTCCAATGTTGCTCTGAATGTTAATGGTCCCCTACCTGCACACCGCAGAGCAAGGAAAGTCTCCTCTGAGGAGAGAGCAATGCTTCTATTAGTGTTATGCCAATAAGGTAAAATAAGAGGGAAAGAAATCCACCATCCTGACCACTCCAGGTGGAAGAATCATGAACTTGATGTGTTAAGATTGTGACTGGCCAGCATGGTGGTCCATACCTGTTATTCCAGCCCTTTGGGAAGCAGAGGTGGGAGAATTGCCTGAGCCTGGGGGTTCAAGACCAGCCTGGATGAATTGGCAAGACTTCGTCTCTCCAAGAAATCAAAACATTAGCCGGGTATCATGGCACACATTTGTAGTCACAGCTACTTGGAAGGCTGAGGTGGAAGGATTGTCTGAGCCCAGGAGGTCGAAGCTGCAGTGGTGGTAAACGTGCTGCTATACTCCAGCCTGGGCGACAGAGTGAGATTCCGATGCAAAAAAAAAGAAAAAAAGATTGTGATGCTGATTCAGTGACGTATATTAACCAGATGTGTTAACGGCCACATGTCCAGTTTGACTCTTTTCCCCGTTTCTGGCCTATAATGATCAGATGGTGTGGGGAGTTGAGGGCAAGGTTACAGCCTCATTCAGGCCTTCAGGTTAAACGCTGGCATCCACCTCATTTTGACTTGTGTTCTGCAGTGGGGACTGAGAGGAGGGGTAGGTAATCAGGTCCAGGCCCAACTAATGATAAAACAAGCCTTTGGGGCTCAACTGTCACTTTTCCCTTTGGCATCGCTCCTTCAGAGATGGGCCGAGAGTAGGGGATGGCGGGTGAAAAGGCAGCATGTGGGTACCCACAAGACCTCAAGCCAAACACCATTAATTGCTGATTTTCATTTCTAATTGCCTTGTCGATCCTTTAATGCTACCTTACACTTTCTGAAATACTGCTCCCATTTTTACTCTCCGTCATAGGCTGAATATTGGCCTGTAAAGGTGTCCCTCTTAATCCCCGGAACCTGTGGATGCTACCATGTAAGGCAAAAGAGACTTGGCAGATGTGGCTAGGGAATTTGAGATGGGAAGATGATCCCATTTCAAATTGGGTCCAGTGCCATCATAAGGGTCTTTTTATTTTTATGATCATCTTTAATTGTTTTTCCGTAGGGGTCTTTAAAACCATTTTTTCATTTTAAAGATGTGCAGTACAAGTCAGGATTAGGTACACAGGTGGTCAGCCCTCACTTCGCCTGGTTTATGATCAAGCAGCTTTGGTGATGTTTTGTGTCCGCCCCCCTCCGGCAGCGTCCTGCTACTGCCAATCCCTTTCTTGTAGTGTTATGATAAATATTCAAGGTCTACTTATGAGTGAGAACATGTGGTATTCGGTGCTTTGTTTCTGTGACAGACCACTGAGTGTGATAGACTGTAAATCCATCCAAGTTGCTGCAAAGTCCATAATTGTGTCCTTCTTTATGGTTGTGTAATATTCCATTGTGTATGGGTCTTTATTGGAGAAATGCAAGAAGGTCGAAGTCAGAGAGAGAGAATGTAAAATGGAAGCAGAAACCAGAGAGAAGAAAAAGTGCTTGTGCTGCTATCTTTGAGGAGGAAGGAAAGGGCCACATGCCAGAAAATAGAGGAATTCTCGAGAAGCGGAGAGAGTCACAGAAACAGGTTCTCCTCTAGAGCCTCCAAAAGAGGCCAGCCAGGCCAACACCTTGACTTTAGCCCAGTGAAACTGGTTTCATGCTTCTGTCATCCAGAAATGTAAGAGAATAAATCTGTGCTATCTTTAGCCACCAAGTTTGTGGTGATTTGTTACAGTAGCAATTGAAAATGAATACACCCCTATTTGTTCTTCAACGACAAAACGCAGACCACAACGTTGGTTTCCTTACCTTTGTCATTTCCTTGAGGTAAGCATCAATAAAGTCTCTTGTTTCTGCAGGATTCCAATCTCTCCTGTGTTTTTCAATCACATGAGAAACAAACAATTTCAATCTTTCCCACTTGCTGATGAGAGTTTGGTGGGGTCCGGGCAGGAATTTCATTATCCGTGGAAAGATATTGTAGAGCTAATTGACAGAAAAAAAACAATCATGGAGACAGCATGGTGCCATTCTCCTACATTTTAAGACAGCAGAAACCATTTTTTCATCTCTTTTACTTGCTCACACTTAAACTTGGGTCAACATTGACTCTTCTTTTCTGTTACTCCTCTAGCAAAACACTTCAGCTCTCCATCCAAAATATACCCAGCCTCAGACCACTTCTCCCTACCCCAGCGGTTTGCCACCCTGGTGCAGACCACCAATGTTCTAACCTGGATGCTGTAATAGCTCTTAGCAGGTTTCCCGATGCCATTCTCAACCCCATTCCCAGCTCATTTTCCACAAAGTTGCCAGAGGGATCATGTAACAGTTTAACCATGTTGATCCCTTGGTTCTCAATCCTCTGATGGCTTGCCTCCACACTCTGACAAAGTCTAATATCATTCCTCGGGCCTGTGAGCCCTACAGAGCTGACCCTACACACCCACCACCCCCTTTTAAACACTCCTTGTCACCTTATCTTACTCTCTACAGTCCAGTCCACAATGGCTTCAGTGATCACACCAGACTCCTGTTTTAGGCCTTTGCAGTTGTTATTCCCTCTGCCCAGAAAGCTCTTCCTCTGAAATCCAAATAACCCAGGCCTCTCATTTCAGTAGGGCACTGCTGTGTGTTACCTCCTTGGAGCTGTGTTACTTGATGGTCCTATCAGTGGCAACATCCCATCACCTTCTGTCCATGCCTTTGTCCTGTTTTATTTTCCTTCATGGCAATTATAACTAATGTGTGTGGTTGTCTCCCCCACTATACTGTAATCTCGGTGTGGGTAAGACTTCACATTTTTCACTGAAATAAAGTGGTTATTGAATGAATGTTCTTTAATGTCCAGTGGAAAATAGAGAGTATGACATAACGGAAACTCACCTAGACTTAAAATGAGACAGAAATGGATGTGACTGTTTGCTCTGGTCCTTTCTAGTCATACTAGTTTGGTAATAGTAATTGATCTGTAATTTAACTAGCTGCCAGTAGGGCTCCAGTGTGGTCTGGGGACCAAATGGCATGAGAGACATAGAGCACTTTACATAGAGCTGGCGGGCCATTCTCTGTACTTGCTTGCACATGCCATTCCAGATTGCACACACCATGTTGCTTCATTTCATCTTCACAGGCTTGTGGTGAGAATCAATAGAGAAAGAGTATGTGTAGTTGTCTATCAAAATGCCTGGCATATTCTAAGAGAAGAAATACTTTTCACCTCTATCCTTCTGCCTCTTTAATCCTTCCAGGAATTTATTTTCCCAGATACATGTACTAAACTGTCATGGCTTTCTAGACTCTATCTAGGAGGAAAGCAAATGGAAACACTGAACTGGGGACTGCCATGACTAGGCATGAAAGCAAGGAATTCAAAATAACGTTGATAATCATAATAATAGCTCATATACATTATGGTCATTTCATGCATCAGGAGTCATACTAATTGCTTTATCAGTTTTGGTGTGATGGGTCCATAAAGCTCCAGGGTGATGAATAAAAAAAAATCTTCCAGATAGATCATAAAAAAAAAACTAATAGTCAATGAAGACAGTGAGGGCTTAGATGCAGCCAGAGAAAAAGGAAAAAAAGTGCTTTGGAAGGAATAGCATTTATATTTTGAGCTGACTTTCTATGTCACCACTGGGACCCCAGAGGCTGGAATAAAGAGGAAAAAAAAGTCAAAAATTTAAAAATATAATTAGAGTAAAATAAAGATATTTTTGATAACTGAAATTATAAAAATTTGCCACCACTGAAGGAAACTCAGGAGGAGGCTCTGAAATACAAGATGAAATGATTAAAAAAGAATCTGGGCTAGGCATGGTGGCTCGTGCCTGTAATCCCAGAACTTTGGGAGGCAAGGTGGGACAACTGCTTGAGCCCAGGAGTTGGCGACCAGCCTAGGAAACATAGTAAGATCTCGTCTCTACAAAAAATAAAAAATAAAAAAATTAGCCAGTCATGGTGGTAAGTGCCTGTGGTCCTAGCTACTCAAGAGGCTGAGGTGGAAAGATCACATGAGCCCAGGAGGTCGAGGCTGCAGTGAGCCCTGATTGTATGACTGTCCGCCAGCCTGGGTGACAGAGTGAGACCCCGACTCAAACAAAACAAAAATTGGTAAATATGTGGGTAAATACAAGTAAATGTTGTCTTTATAAAACAATAATAATAATAATGTGTACTTTTAAAAAACCCTAAAATATGTGATAATAGTAGCCTAGATAATTGACCAGAGGTTAACTTCCTAAAGCTCTTGTATTATTCTGGGGTAGGATAAAGATATCAACTTTAGATGTTGGCATTTTTATTACACATATTAAAATTTTTAAGTAAAGACTAAAATAAAATAACTGTTCAGTTTTTAAACTAATACAGGGAGAAGTAAAATGAGAAGAACATTCAATCACAATGAGTCAAAAAGGAGAAGAGAATACACAGATATACAGAAATCACAAAAATTATTAGAAATTAGTTATATGTTTTCAATAATTTTGATAAAAGGAATGAAATGCTCTAACAAAAAGACAAGGACTGTCAAGTTGTATACAAAATTTACATCCAACTTTATGCTATAAAAATGAAGCATCTAAAATAAAGGATGGTAGAAAGTAAAAAGATGTGAGAGTACTAACCAGATGCTAAACAAAGGAAAGATGATTACTATATTCATTTCAGACAATATGACCTTTAGGGAATAAAATACTATTAGACATAAAGAACATTACTAAATAGTTATAAAAGTTTCAATTCACTAGGGAAAAAAACAATTTAAACTTTTATGTACCTAACAACATAGCTATAAAGTATATACAGTAAAAATTGATAAAAACATGTGAATTAGATAAACCCACCATCTTAGTAGGAAATTTTAGCACAGTGGATATTCTAGTCAATGAAACAACAAAAGGTATATAATAAATAAAGACTGGAAAGGAAGAAACAAAGTTATCATTATTTGCAAGTAGTATGATTGCCTACGAAATCACCCAAAGAGTAATTATAATATTGATAAGAGTTTACCAAAGTTGATCAATTAAGAATTAATGCCCAAAAGTCAATTGCAAAGAGGAAATAAAAGAATTTGAATACCACCAACTTGAATTACCTAAGAAATAATGGATCTAGACAATGAGCATTAACAGTTTTCTAACCACTAGGTAAAAAGGAGAAGGGCGATAATAAAATGGACAGATCAGTCTGATGACACCCGAGCCCACTGATCATCCTAAATGCAAGAGACAACCAGACATAAGTACCTCCTGGAAAGTAGCTCTTTCAAATAATAAAATAGATTCTGGTCAGTCCTCTAGGTTTAATTACCAATGTACATGAGACACAAAAATAGAAGAACATGTTAAATGCCAAAAGAATACAATCAGTAAAATCCAGAATGTGTGATGCTCTACAGAGCAAATGACTAGATTTTGTAAATAAATAAATTGTAAAGAAAAAAACAGAGGAATGGCAGGAAGCCATAAATTAAATGAGACTTGAGAGACATAGCAATCAAATACAATATACAGTTCCAGTTTAGATTCTGATTTAAAGAAAACAACCAAAAAATAATAATATTTATAAGACATCTGGGGACATCTAAACACTACCTGCATGTTTGAAGACATTAAGTAATTATTGTTCATATTTTTCAGGTACAGTGTCATCTTATTTTTGTCAAATACGTTCTTTAAAGATTATATGCTATAATTTATTTAGAATCATTTATGGATAAAATGATTGAGGTCTGAAATTTGCTCCAAAATAACTCAGGAATAAGGAGGTGCAGCAGTGGGGCATGGATACAGATAAAATGAGGTTAGCTGTGTGTTGATAATTGTTGGAGCTGATTGACAGGTACATAGTAATTCATGACTGTATTCTCTCCACTTTTATATATGTGTGTAATTCTCAAAAATGAAGTGTTTTTTTTAACCGCATAAATTTTTAAAAATTTTGATTATGGCAGACTGAGTAATTCAAGGCCAACCTTTTCACTGAGAACAGCAAAAATAGATTAAAAAGATATATGCATGCACATATAAACACACATACATATATACGTAACAAGGTTGTGAGGTAACAAGGCTTAGGGGAAGAAGAAAACCCACGATATGAACCTGATACTCAGGGCCTATTTATCCCCTAGAAATGTCTACCACATTCAGAAAAGTGGTTGAGAGACCAAGAAGTTGAGTTGAGTTTTTGACAGAGTCAAAGGCCTAAGGGACAAACATTGAGGTGCAGGGCTCACCAAGGAAGGAGAGGGATTTGAACCCCAAAGGACCACACCCTATGAAATTAGAAGATTGATATTAAGTGTTGGTAAGCATGCAAATAGCACAACCAGTTTGGAGGTCTTTAGGCATCTTTTATGGTTCAGATATATATGCAAGAGAAATGAGTGGATGTGTCCACAAGAATACTTGTATGGGGAGTTTCATAGCATCCAAAATTTGGAAACAACTTAAATGTTCATCAATAGAGAAGAGAGTAACAAACAAACAGTGGCGCATTCATGCAATGGAACACCAGTCTGCATTAAAAAAGAGCAACCAACCCAGATGAAACTCAAAGCAACCAGCTGAGCTAGATGCCAGACACAGAAGAGTATCTCTGAGGGAGGAGGGAAATGGATGGGTTGGGGAGGGACAGATAGGAGAGGCTCAAAGGCAATAGCAATTCCATTGTTCTTTTACAAAAGAATAACACAGTGCATAGGTGTATGTCATGTAAAATTCTGCACTTTACATGAGTGTTAGAAATGTTTTTTGCATATAGTAAATATTTGATATTATTAAAAACACTAAAGTCAACAGATTGATTTCAAACAAGTTCGTGTTGAAATCAATTTTAGAAGGTTATATTTTAGCTTCAACACCTACCCCCAAACAAAAAAGAAAACTCCATCTGTGTCTGGCATCAGCCCTAATATCTTTAACCAGGAAATAAAAAGAGAACTGCCTTACCTGGCACCTCATTGAAGCCTCCATACATGTGACTTCATCCAATAACTTTAGCAGCTCCTGAAACTGACCATCCTGGTACTCAAAGCGCTCCCCAAAGGTGATGGAGCAAATGATATTGGAAACTGCATTGTTGATCTTGAAGTGAGGGTTAAAAGACTGTCCTGGAGGTGGAGGAAAAACAAGAAGAATCCTTCTAATTGGTTTGTCTCTACATCCTACACTTCCTTCTAGTGGTGCTCAGGATAACATACTGTCCAGATAACGTAACATAAAACAAACCTAGTATAGAACAATATAGAGGCTCCAGCCACCTCACCTTATGCAGGTTCTGAAATTCAGTCAAGCACTCAGTCAATGCTAGGGAAATCAAACTGATATCCAGAGCTTAAATTTAGTAATGTGTTTATTGCTCATCTTCGTGCATTTAATTCTAGAACTCCTTGAGGGCAGGGTCATGGTGACTTGTCCCCTTTTCTATCTTTAGTGCCTAGCGCAGTGCTGGGTGCAGGACAAGCACTTAGGCTTTTAAAAAGTATCTGTTTAATAAATCAGTGAGCTACAGTAGCCCACATTTGTCCTATGAAATGCTCACCGTTCTCCTCTTTAATTGCCTCAGTGAGGTGATGGGCCTCTTCCTGAATGCGTTCCTCTAAGCTCTTCTTTCCTAAACCAAAGTTTCTTAGTGCTGTCAGGGTGAATCTTCTTTGCTCCTTCCATATCTGGCCATTCGACATGATCAATCCTAAGAAAAAGAAATTCAACATTAGGGTATTCTCATTCTATAATGTGAATATCCAGCAAATGACATGGAGATGCATATCAAGATGGGAGAAGAAGAAGGGCATTAAGGTATTTGAAAATTATTCAGAGAAATAATCCCAAAGCAGTAGGCATAATGGCTAATAGTTACTGATTGCTTGCAATGTCAGGCACTGTAGTAAGTATTTTTTGTGCATTATGTAATTTAATGCTCACAGAAACTCTATGGGTTAAGTACAATTATCCCTTGCCCCGCCATTTTACTAATGAGAAAACTTAGATATAGGGGATAAAGGACAAAGAAAACTTCACAAGGTCACTCAGCTAGTAAGCAGCTAAATGGACATCCAAATTCAGATCTGTCTGATTCCAAAACCTATTCTTTATTAGTCAGGCAAGTAAAATTAAGTATTTATGTTATGCTAAATAGTAGGCATACGCTCATGTATAAGACAAAGTCCATACTCTTAAGAAGGCAAAGGAAGGCTTTATAGGAGAATTCCTGTCTAAACTAGACCTTAAAAATGAAGGAAAAACTCAAGAAAGCAAGGAAGAGTGAATATTCCATATAGAAAGATCAGCACAGGCAAAGGAAACAAAACATCTTGGTGTGTTTGGCAGATCACCATTTATTTCTTAATGCAGGTAAGGTCATGCTCTGCTCTATTTCCTCATTTCTGGAGCACTCCTCAATGCCTTTTAATATCTGCCTTTGGCCTCCATCACCCAATGAGATGACCTTCCTTGTTGTCAACTCCAGGGATACCTTTCAACCTCATCTTATGTGAATCTTTCAATAGCACCAGACACTTCTTTCTTGAGACACTCCCTTCTAGTGGTGCTCAGGATAACATACTCTCCAGATTTTCTTCCCAATATCTTTAGGTCTAAGCCCTCTTCTCATCCTCTCCTCCATTTCTGGGAAATCACATTAACTCCTAAAATTTTAAAATAACATTGATGGTGACCATCTATCCCAGTCCCTTAGCTCCAGACCCATATATACAACAACTGCCTGCTTGACTTTACTGATTTAAAGGTATTTCAAATTCAGCATATCCATGACTGAACTAAAGAGTTTCTCCATACAACTCCCCACCCAAGGTCAACCAATCTAAACACCTTGTTCCCTGCTAAGTGCTCCATTTGTGCCTCATCTGACAATTTGGGTGTCACCTCAACCTCATTCTCCTGACATCATGCCTTGTTAGGTTTACCTCCTGGATTCCTTGAAACCATGTGTTTTCATTGCCCCTATTCTTGTCTAAACACTTCCCTAGTCCAATCTACCTCCTTCTTTAACCTAACATGCTGCAAAGGTCTCTTTTTCCAGTTATGCCATCCTCTAAATGCCAACCTAAATGAGTTTTTTAAATGTACAGTACAAACATGATAATTCCCTTCAGTACCATTCAAGAGCTTTCGTTGTTATTAGGATAAAAGCCAACATCCTTAACAAGAACTTACATGAACTTTTCCTGGCCAAGTTCATCTCCATTGAATGATTTTTTAATCCCCATGTTTGACACATTGGCCAAGTTTATTGCCCTTCTTTTTTTTAATTTATAAATTGTGGGGTATAATTCAGAAAATGCTTCTGTTTATTTCATGGCAATTTTGAGTATTCATGCCAACCTGTTCCAATATAGACTGGAAGGCTCAAGACGCCCTGTGTATCAAAGCCTCCATGACAGAGCGTAAAGAGCTTGAGACAAGAAGCAGCGGCAGAAGGAAGCAGATCCACACCCATTTTCCTAAAGGAAGAGGTCTGGAGTGGGCAAGCAGAAAGAGAACACATTGCCTCTGGCTCTGCTTCTGCCTCTGCTATAGTTGGGGAAAGCACCCAGAGTGAGTTTATGCAAGAAATGTGGCTTCTCCTAAATCTGCTAGGGCTGACTCTGTCAAATCTTCCGAAAGGGTGGCTTCAATCTGAAAATGTGGGCATCCATCTTCCTTCAATAGCATGAATTTTATAATGGGGTTGTTTTCTAGGATTGCTGGAAAATTATAGTCACAGAGGTGCATTTAGCAGATCATAAGAATATCAAACACACACCTTACATTGACCAAGAAACTTACCATTATTCTTAAAGACACGGTCTCGGAGGAGGGTCATTGGGCGGTTCATAAAATTTTGGTCCATGTGAATAAGGACTTCTTTGATTAAGGGCAACCCAGTAATAAGAACTGAAGACATGTCACCCATATCCATGCTAAAAACGTTCCCGTATTTCTTCACATACTGAAAAACAGGTAAAAACAGTTGAATATGAACATGTCTGTATGTTCAGGAATAGAAGGTGTGTGTGTGTGTAGCTGGAAGAGATCATATTGAGGAGAAATGGGGAAGAGAGAGAGAGAGAGAGTGCACACATTGGTCTGATAGGAATATTTTAAATTTCCTTTTCACCTCTTCTTAATGAGGTTCAGATTCAATTCACTCCAGGGTGTGGAAGTTTCCTTACAAGATATCCATTCATATCATCAACCAACATATTAACTGAGTGAGCAACTACCACGTGTCCCCAGAGTGAGGCATGAGGTTAAAAACGGTAATAAAATAAATGAGGTCTCCAACCTCAAGCATCCTAGAGTCTAGTCTAGATTCAGCACATCTGAATCTCCAAAGAAGAGTGAGTTACATTTAGTCTGAGTCTGGTGTAGCAAGCATGGACTTTTTAAAAATTTTTTATTTTTTATTTTTATTTTTTGAGTTGGAGTCTCACTCTGTCACCCAGACTGGAGTGCAGTGGCCACTCCTGGCTACCACAGCCTCGACCTGCTGGGCTCTGGCGATCCTTCCGCCTCAGCCTTCCAAGTAGCTGGAATTACAGCTACCACGCCTGGCTAATTTTTTGATTTATTGTAGAGATGAGGTCTCACCAAGTTGCCCAGGTGGGTCTCGAACCCGCCGGCTCAGGCAATCCACTCACCTCAGCCTCCCAAGGCACGGGACTACAGGCTGAGCCACCGAGCCCGGCAAGCATGGATTTTTTAGTAAATCACCATATCTCTTGAGCCAAAAGAGAACTCCCCTACCTAGACAGAGCATAGATAAGAGAAACATGTGTAAGATAACAGAAGATGAATTATAGGGTGGAGGCCAGGCATGGAGAAAAGCTATCTAGCTCTGGAGTTATGTGAGAATCTTGGCTCTACAAGTCAATCTCTGTGAGTTTTTGGGGGAGCTGCTTCACTTTCAGAACCTCAGCTCCCCAGATATAAAAGGAAGAAAATTATTCCTTCCTCCTTCAAGTTCTGTGAAGAAGAATGAGAGCAGCAATGTGAAAGGCACTTTGTTTTCTGGTTCTGGGCGCACAGCCACCCAGCCAGTCTCTGAGGAATGAACTGGCTCTGAGTGCAAAGGGCTGTGGATGTACGCTCATGGTGGCAAAGGGGACAAGAGTCCATCGGCGTGTGGGAGGAAGGCACTTGTGGTAGCAGACCGCAACATTCCCTATGGACACCCTGCTATGTGCCTTTCATGCTTCAACTTAAAATCTCATTTCACCACCACTCTACAATAGTGATGAGTTTCCTTGTCTTTTAGAGAAAGGAAATGGGTTGTAGCTAAAGTAATGTAGCGGAGGTGACAAAACTATTGCGTGGGGGAGTTTGCTGGGTATTATGTAAGATTTGAGGACAAAGAAATGAAACTGAGATGACTCCAGAACCTTAGAGGTCAGTGGGAGTGAGAGAGTGAAAGTGAGAATGAGATTGAGGGCGAGAGAGCGCATGGGGCTGGGGAGAGAGAAAATGGAAGAGTGTGTGGTGTGTTTATGAAGATGCACAAGTGTGCAGATATGGGCATATATGGCTTGGAGGACAGGGTACTGTCACCAGTCAAAGTCTGCTTAACATATCTATTCGAGAAAGGGCCTTAAGTAGACTACCCCTGTCTTTTGTCTGCCTGGGTTGTATGTAGCTGCAGGCAGTGGTATCACACAGAAGGGCTCCACTTCCCCCAGGGGTCTGTGGCCCCTCCTCCCCAATCCTGATCCACTCACATCTACACCCCACCACGTCACTCTTAGAACCCTGGACATAGGGTCTCCATCAGAGCAAATATAATGCATTCGGTCTTATCCCACCACCCTGCTCCCACATTAAAGACCAAGCCTGGCCTCAGTTCTTTTGGCACAGAGTCCTTCATCAATGTTAATCTTGCTAGGAAGGGCAGAGCCAAGGTTCAACCTCAAGTCAGTTTGCCTCTAAAGTATATGTCTTGCTTCTAAGAAATGGCAGTAATGGGTCCATACAAATCAAGTAGATTCAAATTTCACCTTGCTGAATACGTGGATGACCTTCGAAGGCCTTACAAGAAGGACTTCTTGATTAATTTAGAATATTTCATAAGGTTGTTTATGGAACTGCTGTAAAATCTTAGGCTAAGTTAAATGCCTCCTAACTGGCAATGTATATAATGTAAAACCTCAGTTTTTATCTGGAGGAATTAAAAAATCATTACTATTTACTGAAGTAAACTTATTTGAGTTCCATCTCTACCAGCTCTCTGACAGTGTATATTTCTAGCTCAATAGAACTAGATTTAAAAAAAAACTTTTATGATATTATCAACTGTGTAAACATAGATAGGTCAAATTACCTCCTGGAGCCCTGGGATTGATGATGTACCTAACAATTCTTAGGTACACCTTGCTAATCATTGCCAATTGCTTTACAAGGACTAAATGACTCAGAGGGCAGCTGGGAAGGCTTTGTAAGATAGAGCATACTTTTCAATGTACATCATTAAACAAGTCATTAAAAAAAACAAAGAATAAGGGAACAAAATAAGATGACTCAGAAGGTGAAAACACGCTTAAAATTAAGAAGAGAAAATGGGAAAAGTTGAAAAACAGGAGTCATAAAAGTCAGACACAGGCAATAGGAGGCAGGAAATTTAATACTAGGAGTAAAAATTCCAAAGGAAACCTAAGAATGTTTTAAAAGATGAAGCAAAATAAATGTTTAGAATAAAGAACAAGAAGTAAAGGGTTAGTGAGACAAGAGATTGAACCATGACTACCAAGAGATATAAAGTTGAGAGAGATTCCACTTAATCTAAACTGTTAAATTGAAAAACCAACAGAACAAAGATTCAAAGAGAGGAAAAGAAAAAGAGGGTAACAAGTCACACTCCTACCAGCAGACAGAGGGTCTGTCTCCTGAACTCTCACCAGCACTGCTCTCTGTGTGTGGTGTGTGTGTGTGTGTGTGTGTGTGTGTGTAATCATAATATACAAGTGCATGTTGTTTCTATATTTCTCTGGGGCTTAACATATTTCCCTCAGTCTGTATGTTGTATTTTTTAAATCACCTGTTTATGTCTTCAAATGTTTTTGTTTTGAGATGTTCAACTTCTTTCTCATGGATGCATAGAATATCTAATTAAAAGTTGCAAATATAATTTTATTTTCAGTACATGCAAATCTGGAAAAATAGCTACCAAAGTTCTACAGAGGTACTGCTGAATGTGTGTGTGTGTGTGTGTGTGTGTGTGTGTGTGTGTGTGTGTATGTGTGTGTGTGTGTGTGAGAGAGAGAGAGAGAGAGAGAGAGATAGAGAGAGAGAGATAGTGGCAGGGTGGGGACAAGGAGAGGTAAAAGTCTCTCATGCTAAACCTGTATTTTAATATGCTGTCTCACTGTGTATGTCTTGCCTTTATAGTCAAAAAGCTTTTCTATCCAATAAAGCAAACAAGAACAAAAAACTTAAGGAAATGAAGAATAAAGCTTTATAACAGTGGTTTTTAACTTTTTTTGAGTCACAGACTCCTTTGAAACTCTAGTGTATGCCATGAATCTGCTCTCCTGTAAAATCCTGTACACATAAATACTCTTATACATCTGGTTTCAGGAGTTTACCACTTCCCTGGGACCCATGGACTTCTGCAAAGAATAATGGTCTAACAGATAGTTCTTGAGGCTATGCCGGTTTCTGAGAACACTCTGTGGAAATCAAATTCATGTTCAGTTCAACAGGCTTTTATGAGATGTTTAAAAGTTGCCAGACACCTTCTGGAATTGGTATACGTGGAGGCAATACAAAGATCAATATGATATGGATGTTTTCCTAAAGTGTCAAAGTCTCTTGGAAGAGGCTGACAGTGCAGAAAAAAAATTGCAGTGCATAGTAGAAGATGACATATTTCATAATGCTGATAGAAAGGGACATGAAGCTATTGCAAGAAGGGATGAATTTCCACCACAGATATCGGCAAAAAAATTTTAAGAAGAGATGGAACTTGTGTTGGTGTCAGAACTTAAATGAAGGTCAGTATGCCAGAATAAAGAAAAGAAAGAAAAAGACTTTTAAAAGTAAGAAAGGGAGAGAGACAAAGAGAGAGAAGGGAGGGGATTGAGAGAGAGAGAGAGGAGGCAAACACAGTTTAGGTGTGAGAACACTATATGCGAATGCAAAGGCAAGAAATATGGGTGTTTGTAAGTCCTAGACCAGGAAAGAGGAGCCCAGCTGTTGCTATGAGCTCTTGGGCAGGATACACACTGTCTCCGTTCCAGACTTCCTATTTGGGTATAAAGCTGGCGTCATGGATGATCTCTCTCAAGTCCCCTCCAGGCTATCAGTCTGGGGTTCATGATATTGACTCTGGCTCCAGTGCACCTCTGAGTTTATGTTGTCCCTTGATTAGTATACCTGTTGGCAGTGTCACCTGTGGCTCTCCCAGCCTGGGCTACATCATATGCTCTCCTTCCTTATCTTTGCCTTTGACGCATTTATGACAGAGTTTATTAAAACCTTTCAATAAGGTACCTAGAAGTAGATAAAAAATCTTCCCCCCAGAAACAGCCATATGTCTTCCATTCCCAGAGTAATCCCTTTAAACCTTCGATTCCCATGCTGTGCTCCATGTGATGGTTTAAAAACATGTACTGTGAAGCCTCATTGCCTGGATGACACAAGCACCTCCACTGTGTATCTCAGTTTCCTCATCTGTAAAATGAAGAGAATAATATCCGCAAAAATGTATATTTATATATGGGTGTTTGGAAACAAGAGAGCTATCCAATCTGATTGGGGCATAGGGTTCATTAGAGAGCACCGAACGTGTAATAACCCAAGGCCAGGGGCTAGGGAATGCAACAAGTCCTTCACTTTAAGAGGCTCACAATTTAATAAAGCAAACAGATAAACAATCAGTTCTCATTATTAGCATTCTGTACAATACAGTATTTAATGGGGGAGGGTGGGGGTTAGCAAGCACATAAGGGGACCTGGGGC